TATAAAATCAAAAGTTAATCACCTAATCAGTGATGACAGATAAAAGCCATTCATCACAAACCTCAGCTGGAGTGCTGAGATAGGTCTCAGCCCATCACAGGCTGGTTAGTGAATAACTTGACGGCGGAAAAACATTGAGGGCGAGTCAATTCAGATTTGTATACCATGCTAACTGCTTGAGCATGAACTGAAGGCTTAGCAGCAGTGATGGCTTGAGCAGTTGATTCAACAGCGCTCTCAGTTGAAGAGATAGACAATTTGAAAAAGAAGTCATATCGTGTAGGTCGCTTGATAATCCGTCGACAATGTCAACACCAGTTCGTTTTTTCTTGCGAGCTGGAGCTGGAGTGCGTTGCTTGAGGGCCAACTTAGACTTACCATGTCTATTGGCGGCTGATTTGTGACTGGAGCTAGAGGAATTATGAGCTGAGATTGGCTGGAGCGGTTGCCTAGTATCAGGTAAGTCAGATTCAGATGAGCTGGGTGAAAGAGTGTGGTGATGAGTTGAACTCGATTTGGTGGCTGAGGTGGAAGGTGTTGGAGGATGAGCTGAACTCGACTTGGTGGCTGAGGTGGAAGGTGTTGGGGGTCGATCTTGAAAGGGTTCCTTCTTGGTAAAAATTGCAGTCTTCACATACTTTGCAGTTGCTTGGTGGCCCTCCACCAGTGAGGCCAAATCGTCGAAAAGGGGAAAAGGTCGGCCCTTACATCGAGCGTAGTCTTTGGACTTCTTGCTGTCCTTATCCTGAGGTGAAAAGCGAAACAATCAGATGAAGTAAAAAATGAAAAATCAACCAAGACATACCTTTCCATTTAGGATTGGATCCCAGATTTCATCTGGGAGATCAATGCACCCATCAGACCACCCAGCCCCACTAAGTTGTGAAAGGTGTTTGTAGTCGTTATAACGATATCGTAACTACAAGTTGGATGGATCAATCAGCATCAATAAAGGAACAATCAAGCAAAAAACATTGAATTGAGTAGTACTTACAGTGTACCATCTCGACTTGCAGTTATCAGCTGTTTTGAGTAAGCTAGTTTTACCATTGATGATCTTCTCTTCACTACCTTTGAGCTTTTTGACAGCAGCATTCCAAACTGGAATTTTGAATCCATGGGCGCTGGTAGCATTCTCGGGTCCAATGGGTTTGCCGTTGCCAGGCCGTCGTTCAGCAAGTAGGACATCAATCAGAGTTTGACTGTCTTCATCATCCCATTTATCAGAATCCCACTTCTTGTCCGGATCGATGGCAGGTTGGATGGCAGGATGGATGGCAGGTTGGGTGGCAGGATGGATGGCAGGTTGGGTGGCAGGATAGATGGCAGGATCGGGTTGGGTGGTAGGTTGGGTGGTAGGATCAATGGCAAGTCCAGTGGTAGGATTGGTGGTAGGATCAGTTGTAGAGGGAACTGTTCTGATGGCTTGTTTTGCCCGAGGTCTAGCTGGCTTTTTGTTGGTAGCCATCAAGAAAAAACCTGAACTGAAATCATTGATGATAATCAGCTTGTGATGACAACCATGATTACATTGAAAGAAAAAAAACCGACCATAGACAATAGTCAAATACTATGTAAAACAAACTCAAGGCTTGATCTAATAAAAAAGAATTGAAAGAGCTAGAAAGAAGTTTCAGTTCATGGGTAAATCGATAGATAGATCGATCAAGGAATTGAGTGAGATTGTAGAGGGAGCAGAAGTTGAGGGACCCGGTGGAATGGACTTGAACCTGTCAATCCCCATCCATATTAACCGTGAGCTGGGGAGGTAGCAGCCTGAACCTGTCAGTGCCGCCTCTGAGCTCCCCAGCTGGAGTGCTAGTGCTTATGATGACAAGAAAAAGAAAATAAAACTCACTATAAATTTTGAGTCTTGAGCAAATAAAAATAAAGCAATTATAAAAAGAACTTGATGATTGACCGATGTAAAGCTACTTGAGAATTGACCGAGTAAAATCACTAGCAGAGTCTTGAGCAGATAAAAATAAGACACATATAAAAGGAACTTGATGATTGACCAAGTAAAAGAAATTGAGACCTGATCAATTAAAATAACTAGCAGACCGAGTGAAAATAGCAGACTTGAAGGAGTAAAATAGCTTGAGACTTGAGAAAAAAATAGCAGACTTGAAGGAGTAAAATAGCTTGAGACTTGAGAAAAAACTAGCAGACCGAGTGAAAAAAATAGCTTGAGACTTGAGAAAAAACTAGCAGACCGAGTGAAAATAGCAGACTTGAAGGAGTAAAATAGCTTGAACGAGTAAAAAAACTAGCAGACCGAGTGAAAATAGCAGACTTGAAGCAGTAAAATAGCTTGAGACTTGAGAAAAAACTAGCAGACCAAGTGAAAATAGAAAGATAGCAGACTTGAACGAGTAAAACTACTTGAGACTTGACCGAGTAAAAAACTCACAGACTTGAGGAAATAAGAGGAGCAATAAAGAGCTGAAACAGATAGTTTCAATACAAAGAGATGATAGATGGAACGGTGAAATTGAGTAATGGGATGTCTTGAAATCAAATAGAACTTGGAGAGAGTGGAAAGAGACAAAAGGAAGCCTAGGTGGAATGACTACCATACGTATAATAGCTGAGCGGTGGTGTGTGGGTAACGAGAAGAGGAGGATACAATGGATGAACAGATGGGAGGTTGGGATTTGGGGATGGGGCACATTGAGATATTGGGTCAAGATACAGCAAAAAGGCTGTATCTCGATATGGACCATCACATACTGACGTCAGATTGTTGAACCGAACACTGATTGGATTTTGGCTATCTGGTCAAGATTGGACCAAGATACGATGTGGCCACATGTAATCTTTTTGGTGTAAATTTTGGCCACATCGTATCTGCTTGCGGTGTCCGAACGGGCCCTTAATTATAAAGCTGACACCTTGAACAATCTCAGATTGTTTCATAGTTCAATTGGTTATGAGCCCAGCTCTCTAGCTGTATTCAAAAACCTACATCATCACATCTCGCTACACATCACGAAAAGCTTAAAAAATTTTTTGCTAACGCACGTCAAATTCTGATCGATTTGAGAAACTTCACACATTCACACACACTCTTCACTTGATTCACTATCATCATCATGTCATCTGAAGCACGCTTACGCATCGTCAAACTTGACGACACCAATTACCCCGAATGGAAGGGTGATATCACCGGTGTGAGGGTTGGGTACTCAGTTGAGGACTCAAGGCTCACTAGATGGCTAAGGAAGGTTTGCAATTTTAATAATTATCTTTTAGATTTCAATTATAAAGTAATTACAATTTGGAAATTTAAGAAAGAAAAGAAAGGGGGGAGAG